CACACACACACATCATTAGGGCATGGAAAACATGTCAAGCCCCTAATGTGAACTTTAAGCTTATACGACTCATACAAGTATGATTGGAATCACCATTCTCAATCATACCTAATGCTTCGGCTGGAGACTCCTGAACCATATCGTCAGAGCATTCGCCTTCTTTACTAAAGGCAGACATCCCTTGTTGTACACTCATATGCCTTCATGGATTGATCATGAACCCCAATCATACAATATGGTCATACCCCTGAGGAGCACAACGTTTTAGTACATCAAAGGTCCATGATGCTTCCACAAGATAACTGTGGTGCCTCAAGTCGAGAACTAATTTACATTATTGCAACTATGGAGATCTTGTTTGACATGTAGGTAAAACTTCCATACAAGATCCTCGATTGATCGCGCTCAGTGAATTCACTTCCTAGTGAACACCTATACCCTTATCTTAATGTCTTTACACAAATGACTTGAGATTAGTCATCCTTCTAGTTTTACTTTGTTTGCGGATTGTCAATGCCTAGTTAACAATCCTATGACCAGGAACTCTTCAGGGTATGAGTTATAGGGAAAGGCATCTTAGACCTAACTTCTTTAGATCGCTTTCCACATCTCACTGCCCATTGACTTGTCAACTAGGTAAATACCTATTAATGAGACAATAACCTAAATCGACGTAATTGACCTTATAGTTTACCGTAAAAGGTAATGAAATATCCTTAAAGTTTCATCACATATTTGGCTTTAGGGCATAATTCCAACAAAATGTGGGTACACTAAATCGCAACAAATAGAAGAAAAGCACATAGAAATTGACATGAATGACATTTTATGTCAATTTCATCACTTTTGTTTAGGTAGCTTTTTATTTGTTATATTATACTATGTATTTAGTAATTAAAACAAATACATCACTTATTGTGTTAGGTTCGGGGATGTGGATAATAATATCATTCTAATCCCGTCTCCGATCTACTATTTTGAAAAATTGAGGATCCCCATACCCAACCCTGTTTTCCCTCGAAATCTTCCCCGGTTAGGGCCGGGGACCTGATGGGGACCTGCCCAGACGAGGATTGTTACCATCCTTAGACTAAGACAACAACTTTTCAACAACAAACTATACACAAAAACCCTAGCTCTTTCATCAAAGATCAATTTTACTGTTTATTGCTCTGCCAAGCCTCTTTGGTATCGATTTTCAGTCGACTCCCATTGATTGAAGGCCCTATTCTGATCCCTCAGTGCATTGTTCTAATTCTATACTTAATTGCCACTTGATTTTGAGCTGTGTCTTGAACTATAACTATTACAAGATGGTGGCAACTTGTAGCTCTAATCAAACCTGCCCATCTGTTTTCATTGTTGTACTTCTTTTGTTACTTTTACTTTGTTTTACTCCCTTTTTCATTTGTGCTAGATAATTATGAAGTCCTTATGTCTTAAAGCATAGAAAAGAACCTCATTGATTTAGTTTACTGTTTCAATTCACAATCGTTTGATTTTAAGTTATTTACATGGTGCGCAAGTCTTTATTTATTTATATTTTCTTTATTTTCAAGTCTATTAGAATTCTAACATTGCTAATAATAGCATGCTCGCAATTCACACTTCCTCAAAGCCTACTCTAGGGGTTTTAACTTTTTCATTGTAAACAAGAGCAAAGGAGTTGCTGCAGGTGCGGTGGCGTGGGTCACTGGTTTGTCGGTGCTAAGTGTAGGTGATAAGGTTATTGTTTTTCTAATTATGTGTTTTTTGAGACCTTAATAGTGTTTCTTTATTTTTTTGAATCAAATTGGTTTTATTTCTTTATAAATATATAGTCTTGAATTTGGGGGAGGAATGAAGAAAATACAGAGAAGGTTGTGAAAGAAACAATTTTGCCCTTAATATTGACGAAGAAGTGGATGAAATGTTAGGGGATTTAACGGCAGGGGAACATTAGCGAAGAAAATTAGTTTGTATCCTTAATTGACTAAAAAAACAAAATTCACAGGAGAAATTGAAAATTTGGTGATAGTTCAAAGGGTAATTCGATAGTTTACTCTAATTAACAAATATAGGTTTTTTGAACAAGAGAATAAATAAATATTTTTAGAATTTATTTTTAAAAGATCAAATTTATTTTTAAAATTAATATTTTAATGTTAGTAGGATTGAATTTTTTTCTTCTTTTTTAGTAAATAAAAAAACATTGACTAAACTTCATCCACATACTAAAATATCGATAATATTGACAAAATATCGAGGATATTATCGTTTTTTAGTGTAGGATCTTTTGGACCATACCCGTACACATATCGTATAAGTATCGATAATATCAGAAAATATCGACGTCGATAATTTCTCTCACACTTCAGCAACATTTGGCCAAAATATCACTATAATATCGATAATATCAAGATGATGAAGACAGTGAAAAATTTGAAGAGTTACTTACACTAACACTCCTTGAGGTTTCTTGTGTTTTCACAAACCCCATTAGGTCTCAAAATTACACGAATACCCCTTGAGGTTTTTAGTGTGTCCAAAAATTGATGATTTCATTGAAAAAAAGCTTATGCATATGAAAAAATTAACCTCAATGAAGTATATTCAATCTAATCTCAATGACCATCTTTGTCATTTGGAGATTTTTTTTTTGTTTAAAATCATCAATCTTTGGATGAAAAATCAATGAAAAGGAGTTTTGTGAAAACAATTTAAAACTTCAAGGGGTGTTCTTGTAATTTCTTAAACCTCAAGGAATTTTGTGAAAAACTGAAAACCTGAGGGGGTGTTAGTGTAAATAATTCAAATTTAAACCTTATAGGAACTCTATGTAGTACTAAGTCACTCATGTATCTTACTATGCAATGTATAAAGTGTAAAATATTATAGTAAATCATTTTAAATAAATGATTATGGTGTGTTTATTCTTCTTTTATTAATTGCTACATATTTTTTTACACTAGCAATGTTTGTCAGCTCCCTATATAATCAACTTAAATCAATTAAACCCATCATGCAATGCATTTCCTTCCAATTTTTTTTTGTGATAAAGTAATAAATAATTGACTAAATAAACTTTCTCCAAAGTTCTAAGAAATTTTTTCAAGTTTTTCTTACAATTTCCGTGGTTTTTATTCAATTTTTATCGATGTTGATAATTTCTCGATATTCCATATAAATTTCCGTGTTTTTCGACTACCAATATTTATGAAACCATCGATATTTTAGACCTCTATTTCATCTAACCATCCTAAATTAATTACTTCAATCATTTTCTCAACAAAAAACAATTATTTAAATAATTCCCCTTGTAAAATGTTCTCAAATAGCTGAGTTATATGCCCTTGCGATTTTTTTTAAATGGAAATAAGCCCTTGCGAAATTGAAACGATGAATAAAATTGTAACTTAAACACATGATTAGACCATCTCCAACCCAATGGGTGGAAACCCAAATTATAGGTTTTGAGTCCAAAAAACTTCTCCAACCCATGTATGTTTTTTTTTTTTTTTTTGGTCAAAGTGACTTTCATTCATAAGTAAGGATTACAAATAAAGCCCAACATAGCAAACATCAAAAGGCCCAAAACAAATAAAACCCTAGCAACTAAAACACAACAATAGAGAGCAGCCGCCATGATCATCCCTGCAACAGGAGAAGCAGCAAGCAGACAACCAACCAGGGCCAAAACAAAACAACAAACTTCCATCCCAACACAACAAACAACAACCCCAAAAACCCTTAAAATTGGAAAAACGTAAAACTAAGAAAACCCCAATAGCGAACTCCACTGCGACACACTTCGCTCCCATCGAACCCAAACTCGCATCCAAGGGAACAGCAGCCATGCATCAGACGAAACCGAAGGCCAAAACCAGCCTATAGCCAGCAGAACCAACAAGAACCAATTTGAGGAAGGTGGTGGTGCGAGCACCCGAGTTGAAACTCTACCAATCTTCCAAATAAGACGCGAACACGCGTGTAGAGGATGAATAGCTGCAAGCTTGGATTGAGGTGGGAACAAGTGAGGAAGGAGAGGAGTAGAGCAAGTGATATGGGTGAGAGTGGGGGGGATCTAGGGGATGAGGACCAAGGGGGTGAAAGAGGGTGAAAAACCAATAAAAAGGTTGGAGATTGATGTGAGATCTAGGGTTAAAAGGGGTTGGAGAGGAAGGGGAAAGCAAAAACAACATAACTGAAAGGGCATAAAGCCCTGAACAACTGAGACAGAGCTCAGAGAAACACCCATTAAGGGTGGGAAATTGCCACCGACTCTCAAAACTGGGAGAGAAGCAGAGCACAAGTGAGACAAGCTCAAAAGATTTCACTGCCCTAACCTATTCTCCTAACTCACGTATGCAATTCTTACATTTTTATTAGAAGCTTCATTATTATGTTGTGCAATTATGTTCAACTTATAAACCTATGTAAGATAGAGAAGTCTGCCTCTTCCTTTAAATGTTGGCCGCATGTTATGTTTAATTCAAATACCCGTTGAGATCCAACGGCTACATTTAATATGCTTTTGTAATTTGTTTTTTTAAATGTAAGCTTAATCTAACGGCCCAGATTGTCCAAGACTGATTTTAACGGAAAAAAAATATATCCAATGACCCAAATTAAATCCAATAGTCAAAATTATATTATTTCTTAATCTACATGAGATTCAACTTTAAAACTCATTCCAAATTCTATAAATACCTACCCATTTATTAAATAATCCACTAAAATCAAATTTTAAGTGAAATTATAATTTTTTTTAGGTTAAAATGATCAGAAAAATAAATTATGAAGCTATAAACAAAAATCAACTTAAGAAAAATTAACCACAATAGAAAAATAGAGTTCAACTATTCTTAAAGAATTTAATAAAGGTACGTACTCAAATTTTGAGTCTGCAAGGTTGGAGGAAAAAACATTTTGAGTCCGGTCAATACATGAATAGTTGTATTTTAGAGGGTGAAAATTTGAGTTTATCCCCAACATGGTTGGAGATGGTCTTAAGGAAAAATATTTTTTTATTATTTTTTTGAGAATATTTGTATTTTGTTAGTGCAAAAATTAGTGTTTGGACTTCGTTAGTGTTGAAGATGGGGTAATAATAATAACCAGTGTCTAGTCTGTTCAAAGTTCAAACGGAGGAGGCCATGGCCGAGAACCAAATCTCACCACCGCACCCAATTCACCGTCCCCCTCCTTCTTCGCAGCTCCCCCTATCACCGACCTCCATCTCATCGTCGGTCAAGATCATCCTCGACATCCTATTCCGAACCACACCCCAGAAGATCGAACCGGCTCTCGCCTCCACCGGAATAATCCCCACCACCGAAGTCGTCGTCGAAGTCCTGAAGCTCTCGTACGACTACCCATTCTCCGCCATAAAGTTCTTCCGATGGGCCGGGTTGGCCCACAAGCACTCGGCCCACGCCTGGAACCTCATGGTCGACCTCCTCGGCCGCAACCGCCTCTTCGAGTCCATGTGGGACGCCATCCGCTCAATGCGGCAGGAAAAGACTCTCTCCTTGGCCGCCTTCGCCTCCGCCTTCGGAAATTACTGCGCTTCTGGAAGCTTCGACGACGCCCTCATGACTTTTCAGGTCATGGACAAATACGGCATCCCAAACGACGTCGTTGCCGCCAATTCTCTTCTCAGCGCAATGTGCCGCGAAAACGGTGGCGTTTTGAGGGCTCTGGACTTCCTCGAGACCATGAAATCGAAGCCGGAATTCGGCCCCGACTGCGACTCGTTTGCTATTTTGCTCGAGGGGCTGGAGAAGGAAGGGGATGCGGCGAAGGCAAAGACAACGTTTGGGGAAATGGTGGTGAGAGTTGGGTGGATGCCAGCGAACGTGGCGGCTTACGACGCTTTCTTGATGACGCTGGTGAGAGGGGAACAAGCGGAGGAGGCTGTGAAATTCTTGATTGTGATGAAGAAGAATAGCTGCTTGCCAGGTTTGAGATTCTTTTCCAGTGCTCTTGATATTCTTGTTAAGCGAAAGGATTCGAAGAATGCAATTTTGATTTGGGATGTTGTGGTTGGCAATGGTAATGGGTTGGTTCCCAATTTGTCAACGTACAATGCCATGATTGGATTATTGTGTGATTGCAATGAGGTCGATGATGCATTTAGGCTCCTTGATGATATGGTATTTCATGGTGCTTTTCCTGATTCTTTCACTTATAATGTGATCTTTAAGTGTTTGATTAAGAACAAGAAGGTTGGTGATGCCGGTAAGTTTTTTGTGGAGATGGTGAAGAATGAGTGGCTTCCCACACATGCTAATTTTGCTGCGGCCATCACCATGTTTTTCGAAGGGGATGACCCTGAAATGGGGGTTCAGCTTTGGAACTTTATGGTTGAAAACAAGGTCGAGCCTCTTGATGCAGCAGCCAATGCCTTGCTCTTGGGGCTTTGTAAGTTAGATAGGTTGTCAGAGTTGAAGAGGAATGCTGACGATATGCTTGATAGAAGGATCAGCATATACGAATCGACAATGGCGAGCTTGAAGAGTGCCTACTATAAGGATGGCAGAGGTGCAAGGGACAAATATGATGGCTTGGCAAGGAGGTGGAAGACCTCACTGGGTCGCTAGACATTTTGTGGCTTAGGTTCTTTTTTTGATATGTATAGGAGTTATGTTCTTTAGTTGCATAGGCGTAATCACTAGTGGAAAGTGCGTATATATTCTTTTTCCATACCAAGCAGGTTTTGTGGTTAACTTAACTGTTATTATACAAATTGCCTCTTGTAGCTGTCTGACCTATTCGTCTTCTCTTTCTTCCCGTTCCTCCTTTTTTTTCTTTGTTTTGGATTTTGCTTTTCTTTTCTTTGATTTTGATTTCTTGTTGTTCAATGTGCCTGCTGCTGGTTGTGAAATTCTTTCCTTCCTTGAGTTCCTGGTATGAAAGCTTTCTTGTTACGTGTTTCCAGAGCTTTTATTATTTAACAGTGCAAGCTGCATATGAATGCTGAGAGCATTAGTAGCTCTCTTACTTCACTGCATTTTGGTGCTTCGTTTATTTTTTATTTTTTATTTTTAAATTTTTATGACAGTCGCTGGCCCTTTTCAATGCCTTTTTGAGAATTTCTATTCTAGACTTTGCTAGATGGCCTCTCATCCTGGTAGTTGGTGTCCTTAAATCATAACTTGAGAGTGATTATGCTTGTTTTGACTCATTGGTGTACATTTCATGAGGCATCGTTGGATTGTTCTTTGGAGTGTAAATGATGCCTCCTGGTGCAGGTTTGTCATCTCTGTATCTGTATCCCTTTTCTCTCCCTTGATGACTCATGAATTGTTGAAGTCCCAAATTCTCTTCATTCACCTTTCTAAAACGTAAAATCGATGAACCAAAGGACTTATTAAAACCCAATGATCGTTTAGATCAATTCATTTCTTAAAATCTTGAAAGGAATTGTTTTTCAGAGGCATGGAATATTTTTTGTTTTAGAAAGGCCAGGGTTCTTTTTCTTTCCTTTTTTTTCTTCTGACGAAGAATGCAAGTAGAAAAATTGCATTTATTTCAGGTGAGGGCAATTAACTAATACTGGCCAATATGTTTTATAAAAGAGCAACTTCTCATATGAAGTATAATCCAATAGATAAATGCCATGCCGCCATAATGATCAAATTAATGTCTTAGAGTAATTACAATGGACTCCCTAAACCACATTCTTAGATAAAATTTAGGTAGGAAGTGAGAAAACTCACCTACAATACAACCATGCTCTCTATCCAACTCTTAAAATAGGGAGATCTTTAGGAGCTCCTAAATCTGAGGAGAGAGAAATGGCTTCTAGTGGCTCCCTATAATTAAATTCTGCTTTACTTTAATATGATTTTAACTATTTATTTATTCCCTCAGGCAAGGTCTTGGGTTCGAGTCCTATCATCCGTATAGTGTGTGTGAGTTTAGTATTCTATCGCTCATCTCAATAGGAAAGGTCCTAATATATATATATATATATATATACAGAAATTCTCTTATGCGGACATCCGGACGTTATTATCGTGCGGACACAGTGTATTTTGTACTACCCCTCTCTGTTTTCCTGCCTGTTTACAATAGGATCCGCACGATAATAACGTGCGGACATCCGGATAAGAGAATAACTGTATATATATATATATATATATATTTAATGCTAATTTTTATTATTATTATTTTATATAAAGAGGGAGATTTTTGCTAAATTAAAAAAAGAAATAAATCATTTATGATCCCCTAAATTAGGGGAGCATGGTTGGAGTTGAAATTTTATAAGGAGTTTTTAAAATAGTTTTCTAATGTTTTTAGTTAAATTTTAACTAAAAAATAAGGAGCATGGATGATTTTCCTTTGTTGTTGTTCCTCCTACGAATTCACACCCTCATTTCAGATTTGGAAATCTAAAGCACCTCCTAAGGTAAAAATTCTAGCATGTTGGTGGGCCATGCCCTAACTGTTTATTCTACTTTTTATTGTGTTATTAGTGTTTATATTAGGCCTTAGATTTTGGCATTTGATTTGATAAATAAAGAAAGGGATTAATCACTACTGTCGGCGGTGGACACCCTTGGATCTCATCCAAAAAAAAAAGAATAAGCTTACCCTACTTTTCTCTCTCTCTCTCTCGGTTTTTCCTTGTGTTTAACATTTTGTCTGCCATTCAACCTTCCAGTCCAGCCAATCTATATTTCTGGAATAATGCTAGCTACAGTCAGTTAGACAACTGTAAGTAGACAGCCGTTGTTTCAGGCTTCCACACGCATTTGTAGAATTTTTGTTGTGTTCTCCATCCACATATCTTATCTTCCCCTCACCAGGAGCAGTTCAGAGGCACCTCTGCATGCGCCTCTTCTAAGATCTAGAGAATGCTCTTTTTCTTCTTTCTATTTCCTGTTAATTAATAACACAACTTTCAGGTTTGATTGCTCATCATCAAAGGGTAAATCAGAATGAGATAATCCGTTTTTGTATTTAGGAGCTTAAGCCTTGTTTAGTGGATTGGACTAAATTGGTTAAGATCGGGCTTAGAGTGCTAGACCGGACGTGCTTCTATTAAGTTGGACTTTAAGTTGTTTGGTACATCAATACGTTGAGCCTAACAGCACTAGACTATTGTTTGGTACGGTGGACTTCAGATATTTTTTATTTTAATGTTTATTAGATTATTTTATATCATAAACTTTTTTTTTTCTTTTAAGACAAGCACACAAAATTAAAAATAATTCATCCTTCTATAGTCCCATATTGTGTGTTTTGTGCCTGCCACTGTGGTGGCCAACTAATATTCTGCCAACACGATTTCCTCACACATCCACATGATTTATTAACCATTTCAACCGTTCATTGAGAGATCGTCTTCTATCATTATAGCAAATATATGGTTGTTTAGTTTATATTTGTTTGGAAGGCTTAATATCATAGAACGTCCCTAAGGTTTACCAAACTATCAAATTGCATTTTTAATGTTTTTTTGTGTCATTCGTGGTTCTCAAGGTTAATATGTGCGATCATAAATGGTCCATGCTGTTAGGTTTCGTTAAAAACTTCGTTAGTTTGCTGACGTGACACACACACACATATATATATATATATCACAAAACATTCCTAAGGTTCATGCACCTATCACAAATTATCCCTGCGAAATTTTTTAATTTTTTAATTTAAAATTCATGAAATTTTGATTTTCTTTTAAAAATTATTTATAGATGAAAAAACCATTTATGGAAGGATTTTAACATTGAGGATCATTTATGAACCTTAAACCTTGGTTTTTTCATTTTAAAATTTTATGAAATTAATTAATTTTTTTTTTAAACTCCATTAATTTGTTGATTTGGCATATATGTGAAGCCCACATCTACAATAATATAGTGTCATGTGTATTTAAAGGACAATATATATTTTTAAATGAAAAAATGAAAAAAATTTGTATGGACCATTTGTGATAGGTGCGTGAACTTCATTGATGTTTTGTGATATATATATATCCTAACAGCAGAGATCATTTGTGATCACGCATACTAACCTTAAGGACCACAAATGGCACCAAAAAAATAACATTAAGGATGCTATATGATAGTTTCGTAAACCTTAGGGACGTTTTGTGATATTAAGCCTTGTTTGGAACAAAATTAGCACAGCCTAATTTTTGTAGTCAATGGGCCAATTTCATGTTTAGAATTGACTAAAGCCCAACTATCAAAGCCAGTGCAAATGGCCAGATCCTAACAAAGGTGTATTCTAGGCCCAAAAGCCCATAAAATAACGCCAGCATCAAAGAAGTGTTGACCTGCGATTGGTCAACCAAAAGACAAGGATTAATCGGACAAAGCATGTCCGATTTAGATTGTAAAAATCAATTAATGTTTATAACCAAATTAAATGGTCAGCAAAAACAGATAATAATTGATTCTTCCAAATGAACCCAATTTATTATTATCTCATAAATTAACGAATAATGTTAATGCTTCTTAAATAAAAAATCAAGATGTATGCCAACACATGGCATTTCATGATTGGTTCCAAAGAAGAGATAATTAAATTAAAATGAGCAAAGCCCAAGAGAGCTTGTTTATCTAAAAGGGCCTGGGTTATTCCCAGAAGACCGTTGTGCGAACATCTAGATTTAAACTCAAGGTTGATCTCGAAAATTGATGGGGAGTCAGACGGCATAAGGAGGGGTAGACAACCGCATTAAATGCAATTTGAATCATGAGGCTCAGCCGCATCAACTTGCTTAAGCTAGCTAAGTCACAAGGATTAAGGGGAAATCAGAGATCCGCCAATCTCACATACAAGGAAGAAACTAGTACATAATCAAAGCATTCCTTTGCCAAACGTGCAAAGCCAAAGAGCCAGAAAGGTTATAAATAGCAGCAAAAGATTTGATTCAAGGACAACTAATCTCTCTCAAGAATAAACAAACTATTTGAACAAACTTCAAACACACTCGACTCAAACACCTTGTCAAAGTGTCTCACAACAGACCAAAAGTCAAGACTTGAATCAAATACTCTCTCAAGCTTTTGAGTTTCCAGTTGACAACTCCTTATTGAAGTTCTATTCTTTTCCCAAACACATACTCTGTCTAATTCCTAGTTAACAACTCCTGATTTGAATTACATAGTTATTGTTTATAATCTTAATGCTCTGCCAACATCAATGCTTAGTATGATTTTATAAGTTTGTCGCTGAATCTAACTTATTGAAGATCAAATTTGTATTTGCAGGCTTCTCTGATCTTTGTCGATACTGTTGACACACTTCGTCAGATTCATTGTACTATCTCAAGTATATTACAGTGGTGTCCGATGAAAGTTTTTTTCCTATCCGATAGGGTCCTCCTGGGCCTTGCTGGGTTCCTTATTGTTTTTTTATTTATATAAAGTGTATTTAAGTCTTTATAGGCTTGTATTTGCTTTCTTGTAAGTTGTAACGATACCATGTCCATCAGACACATTTTTCTTTAAAACTTGTATCGTGCTTTCTATCAGATATTAGTTTAATATTATTATTTCTTCCAAGTTTTGTTCCATAACAAGTGAAATGTTGAAGTCCTCTTAATTGATGCATAGAAACGAACCTATCCAAGTCAGATTCCTCACTTGGAGCACAATGGCTTTGGTTAGAGGTTGAGATCAATGAGCGCAATACAAGTTCACATCACTCAATCATTCATCTTCTCTCCCTACTAGAAGAGTAAAAAACTAGTAGTGGCATGCTTGACACATATAAAGGAAAGGACAACACTGAGCCCACTCCAACGGCCAAGACTAGCCTTTCTTGATCAACAAGCAATACATCACAGCTAAAGCACAACCTACAA